AAAATTCAAGCTTCTGAGAAATCCTGGAAGGAACTGAAGGACCACTTGACCCAACCTGTCCGTATGATCAACTTCGTTATGGTGGAGCCGATTGTGGATAAACAGCAAACAACTGTTTTGTCGGCAGTTCAAAGGATGATGGTGCGCTTGCAGAGACATGGGTATCCGGTGTTGAGAATCCACTCAGATCGAGCGGGGGAGTTTGTCAATGCACGCTTCCGCTCCTTTTGTGAAACTCGTCTGATATATAGGACCACTGGTGATCCTGGAGTCCCGCAAACAAATGGGCGCGCTGAAGCATGTGTGGGTTTATTCAAACGTGGTGTCAGGTCGCTCTTAAAGGAGGCGCAAGACCGTTTTGCCATTCTGAGAGAAATCTTTCTCTATGAGTTCAGGGTCCCCAGGGCTTTCCATGCCAAAGAAGACAGAACTTCCATTGATGACTTCAGCAGTTCCACACCTTGAATGCACCGCCACGTCATATAGGAAAAGCATCTTCAGAAGTAAAACACCATCCTTTTGAGCTAATTCTTGATGTGGCCAAGGAAGACTTTTTACTCCCAACCGTTCAGGCCCACAGCGTCGGCGTAATACAGGTGGACCACCGTCTTCACCTCTCAACCTTGACACTGTCCTGCATGGAGGTCCTCCAACCACAGCAACCACCTTTCCTTCAGCCGCCAGATGCAGAAGATACTTCCAGACGCTCGAATTATGTAGGTCACCGCCTTTTGTCAAATCCAGCTCCAGTGCCTCCACATCCCGACTGGGAAAATGCCATTTTTGTTTTCCTGAAAATAGGTGTACCACCACCCTTTTTGCTCGTGCCAGCCGTCTCCTTTTATGACGGTTGAAAGGCAACGCCGCAATATCTCCACGTGGCAACAGCTCCATCAGCATATTTTCTGGTATATCCCCATAATACCACCGAAGAAATCTCCAGCATGCCTGGACGAACTCCTCCTCATTCGCTGACGCTGTCCGTGCTGCGCTTTGCAACGACGTTTTACAGCCACCTCGTTGTCCGTATTCGGACACCCTTGAACCATACGTGCCACCTTCAAAGCTTGCTTTGGTGAGCACCAATCCATTTCATCAATGATCTGAAGCGCCACCTCCTTTTCCAAACAATGGCACCCATTCAGATCACGAACGCGAAGTTCCCCCAGAACAGGATGTGAGGCTGTGCACTTGCCACCACGCCACTGAACTCTGAGACCAACCAAGGCGCTCGCTTTGCCAATTGTCACTAGTGGATCTACCATTTCAGGAGTTACCAGGGTCCCACCTGGGGTAATACACATCTCCCGAGATCCAACAGCTAAAGACACCAACACCTTTTGCTGCGGAAGCTGTTCACCAGAACGAAGTGATCTGAGAGGATGTGATGCTCCCGAGTCCAACATGCCCATTCCCGAACACTCATTGGTGTCAGAAACCCTGGCCACATGTAGAACGCATACTCCTCGGCCTTCTCCCTGCTTCGGCAACAACGTGGCATCCGACGAACCGACTCCACAGTCCGCCCTTCCATTCCTCCATTGAGAATGGGACCAAGACACACGCTGCCTTTCAGCATGCAAAACCATTTTTTCAGCTGTTTTGTAATCCATAACCAAACAGCCATGTTCAAACCACAAGAGCTGGTCCAGCGAAGATTTTGCACTCACGTGACACATCCCATTGATCACGGTGAGGTTCGCCCCAAACTCCAAAATCAACCAGAGAGGGATAATCAAGGGCCCATTGTCTTCCCTAATCAACGTCCCTTTCTCTGTAATCCTCATTGTCACACCACCAAGCGCGCTTTGCACCATAACAGTAGTGTCTGGTAAACATACCCATGGAAAAAGCGTCCGCACAAGATGCGTAGCAGCTGTATCCACCAACGCCACTCTCCCTTCCTGCTGAAGCAGCCCAGAGCCACATAACATTCGAATACTGGGATCCCTTGATGCCGACTGTTCTGATGACAGCTTCATAGATTTCAGCACTTCTAACGCTTCAACAAGGACCTGATTGGCCGTTGATGGCGATGAGGGACTTGCAGAACCTTTATCCAATCCCACATTAGCCGTCTCATCTCCCCCTTCAGCTACCTCTGCCTTTTTGGCATTTTCCCCATTTCGCACCTTTGCCGCCCTTTCCCCCTTTGGGAGAATTCCCTTTAGATCTACTCCTCTCAGGATTTGAGTCCACATTGGAACTTGCACCATCCTTATATGGACATTGCGGCTGCAGATGGCCAACGGCCCCACACTCAAAACATCTTCCTCGCTCAAGGGAGTCTTTGTCATGGCGAAATTTGCAGCGGGATCCGAACTTGCAACCTGCATCGGTCTTCCCATATATCCAACAGAAAGGACGTTCACCATCTCCGCTGTACCTTTTTCCTTTCCCTTTGCCTATGTCACCCTCCTCTGTCTCGTCACCAGTCCCCTTTTGGGCCTTGTTTAACCTGGCCTTTTCTTGGCGTCCGAGTCCTGCTTCACCTCTTGTTCACCAGCACTATGCAATAGCAGTTCAAACTCTGCCTGTAACATTTCAGCTAGTTTTGTCGCAGTTTCAGAGGTCGGCGAGTAGTCCACCCCCAATTTCTCCCGAAAGGATGCCACTCTGAAATGAACCGTAGGGTGTTTCGCCAGCAACGCGGATGACAAACCATCCAATCCCTTGATAAGCAAGGTAGCGTCCGGCTCGGCCGCTCTCAACTCCCTCAATCGGGAACGCCATTGCGCCCATTGACGCACTCCCTTTATGGCCTCTGAGATCGAGGTTGCTGGAGATGGTTGCACCAAGAAGTTCAACATTGTGCTGCGCTCATTTGCTCCACCTGGTTGGTAGACCGTCAGCAATTTGTAAAATATCGTCACTGACCCCAACATTCGAGTGGAAACGATCTCGGTCTTCAATCTCTCCGGGATCGCCTGTAACAGCAAAGACACCGCTCTCTGCTCCAACAAAACATGCACAGTTTGAACCACTTTGAGCCCTTCCAGCTCAGCCTTGATGCCCAACCTTTCCAGCGGAGAAACACTCAACCATTTGGCATACGCCTGATACGCCTTTGAGTAGACGCATTGCCACCACACTCTTCCTGTATCTGTCAGCGAAGACAACATTGGTTCGATCATTGCGATCCAATCACCCAGTGCCGTCGGATTGCTTGGTGTGTAGTCTGCCAAAGTTGGAAGGCTCATCACATGCTTCCCGAGAGCCTCCGGACGTTCGGTTCCAGAACTATCACCAGTGATTGGCATACCACGAGGCACCACTGCTCCAGGAGGTAAACTGACCCTACCACCAGGCCCTTGAGGTAGTCCATGTCCTATACCAGGCGTAACAGCTGTGAGCGGAACCTTTTCTAATTCCAACTTCCCAGCGACCATTTTCCACCGATACGGAACATCATCCACCATTGTATAGCCACCCGATCCTGCTGAATTCTCTTGCGTTGCAGTTTCCCGAGCTGAAACAAAACCGGGCTGGTTCCCCACAGGTGCGGCAGAACCATCAACACCTGACGGCACGGAAGTAATCGGAACATGTGTTAAACCAGGTGGTCCACTTGCATATCCACCACTTGCAGGACCTCCCGTGGGGTAATTCAATGGAGGCAATCTGGAGGGTTTCTTCCCTTCAGCTACATGCATCATTGGCACTTCTTTTTCATCCTCCACTTGAACATTCCCCTTCCTGGACCCAGGCAAGGATTGAAGATCACAACCCTTTGGCAGGTCGTAGCCCTCAATAGGCAGCCATGTCCCATCAGGTAACACAGTCCAAAAACCACCCATACCATCCGTGTAGAAAACTTGTCCTGGCAGGTACTGCTTCTCTGGAGTCATTCCTAGAGGATATGCCGTGTTTGCGTCCACCACTCCAGAGCTCCGTGCCCTTGAAGCTGACCCAGATGCAGCAGCGGTATAGCTTTTTTCCTCCACCCGATGCAACCTGTTCCCCAGCTCCTTTGTCTGCACAAGCAACTCTTTCAGCGCACGCTTCACCACCGCCATATCTTCGGTTTGCTCTTCACCACTAACATCAGGAATGAGTTCTTCGTCGGCTTGCACTCCACCAATAGTACCTCGTTCCATTTGGCCCATTAAGCCTGACGATGGTCTCTCAACAGGTGCAGGTTCCTGACCCAAAAGATCTTGCAGCGAAGGTGGCCTCCTCGTACCTTCACCACTTCTATCCCCTCCGCTCGCGGGAAGACTTGCCGGCCTTGATTGCCTAAGTCTCATTTCTTCTTGAGCCCGCTCGCTCCAGAAAGGATTTGCTGCTTGAACCGGAACCACTTCGTTTTCCACCTGAGGCGTTGGCTGTATCATTGCAACCTCCCTACCATCTGTCAGCGCTTGTACCATTTGTTGTCGATCTTCACCCACATCACCACGATTTCCTTCGGCTTCATTGGCCGTTGGCGACAGTCCAGGCTCAGAGCGACGCCGCATCATGTCCATGGCGTTAAACAAACGAAAAATCTTTACCTATTCCGCAGGAAGCCTAATTTGGGCTCATAACCTACGGGGGGCAACCGAAGGAGGACAGGGAACAAAACAGTCAACCCCAACAGAAACCCTTGATTCCCCTGGAACAACCAACAACCAAACAACAAGACCCCAAACCAAGGGCACACTTTTTACGAAACCTTCGACCGCTTTGGTCATGGCTTGAGCCATAAGATTACCGGGTTCATTGACCCTTCAACTTCCAATACCAACTCCTTTCTACAATACCAACTGCAGCTCCGCACCCTAAACCCTAAACCCTACACCCTACACCCTAAACCCTAAACCCTAAACCCTAAACCCTAAACCCTAAACCCTAAACCCTAAACCCTAAACCCTAAACCCTACAAGCACTAAACCCAAAAACCCTACAAGCCCTAAACCCTAAAACCCTACAAGCCCTGAACCCTAAACCCTAAACCCTACAAGCACTAAACCCTAGAACCCTACAAGCCCTGAACCCGAACACTTCATCGTGCTGCTGTCCTTGGAAGCATGGACCGCTGGCGGCCGCCCCTCTCGCGGCCCATCCTTCCACAAGCACATGGAGAGCCGGTGGGTTTAGGGTATAGGGTTTAGGGTTTAGGGATAGCTCAACCCTCATGGGGCCTGAAGCCTTTCCGTAGGCCTTGACGGCATGTCAGTGACATGTCGACTGGGACGCACTGGGTCCAGGCCGCCGAGATTAACCCGGTACCTTTGGAAAATGGCTACTTAACCCTAAACCCGAAGTTAAAGGGTGAGTAAAATCAAATTGAATACAATTCCCTCCGGAAAACCCATCAAAAAAAAACTTTTTTCCAATCAAAAAAAAACTTTTCCCGACCAATCTAAAAAAAACTTTCCAAAGATCAAGAAAAAACTTTTTTCCAATCAAAAAAAAACTTTCTTTGGGTATTTATAAGAGATCTAGAATGAATTTATTCGAGAAGCGGGAATCAAAAAAAAACTTTTTCTTAATCAAAAAAATCCTTGGTAGTCTACAAGAGGTTTTGCCTCTCTTGGACGATACCGCATTCGACGCAAAGATATGTATAGTTTAGTGTGCATGTGTGTACATATATATATATATGTGTATATATGTCTTGGGCGGCAAAACAGACACTCCTTTCTGCACGGCTTAAAAAAAGCGGGGGGGTTGGGGGGGGCGCA